AGTGGTAGAGCGCTAGCTAGCCTTGAGCTGAAGAGCTGAGGGACAGCGTCCCGGCCTAGAGTTCAGGCCCACGGCTGGACCAAAAAAAAGAGAAAATAAGATCACACAGCCTACAGTGCCTGATTTATTACTTGGCAAGTTGGCTGACACATAGTTCAAAACTAAATTATTTTGGAACAATGTATCATTTCCTTCCCCTCCCCCAAGATGTTTTATATGTATGATTCCCTCCCCCCCCTCATGTTTTTTCTTTTGTCAGTCATGGGGCCTGAACTCTGGGCCTGGGCGCTGTCTCTCAGCTCTTTAGCTCAAGGCTAGCGCTCTACCACTTGAGCTACAGCACCACTTCTGGCTTTTTCTGCTTATGTGGTAAGGAATCGAACCCAGGGCCTCATGCATGTGAGACAAGCACTCTACCACTGAGCCACTTTCCCAGCCCATGATTCCCCTTTTAATACAATAAAGGAGAATCCTACGTAGACACTTTAATTCAGCATAAAAATAAAATATATAAGTAGAGGCTGATTATTGTTATATGCAAATAAGTTAGTTACCTCCAGTAGTGTGGAGGGAGAAGTTGGAGGACATGATGAGACAGGAAGATCTGATGGTAATATCCTTTTTGTTATCATTTCATCTGAGAGGCATGTCAGAATAACCTATTCACCAGGGCACTGATGGCTTTGTAATCCTAGCTACTGAGGGTGCTGAGATCTGAGGATCGCAATTCAAAGCTAGCCTGGGCAGGAAAGTCCAAGAGACTCATCTCCAATTAGCCACCAGAAAATGGGAAGTGCAGCTGTGGCTCAAAGTGATAGAGCACTAGCCTTGAGGAGAAGAGCTCAAGGACAGCATCCAGGCCCTGAGTTCAAGCCCTATGACCAAAAGTAACTGAACAGCTTCTTCCTATGTTTTGTGAGCATATGATTTGTTTTTCAGCTTTTCTACACTAGGAAATAGTCAGCTTTTATTCCTAGATTAGTAGATTATAGTTTCACTTGTTTCTGTAAGAGTTTTGTTTTTTCCAGTGTACCTACCCATCTGTGAAGAAACAGCTGAGAGATTTTGTGTTCTTCATACATACACAGCTGTATACATGTGCTAGTCAAATGAGAAACACATGGAAAAGTTTTTCTGTTCTTTGTGGTTTTATATATGTAACAAATTCTTGGCTACTAACACTTGGTCCCAGTAATCTCTTTTTTTTTTTGATAGTATATGTAGTTATGAAAATTTTCTTACTAGTGTTATAAATATAAGCAAATTCTTGCAATTTTGGAAGGACTGTTTTACAGTCTTCATTGCTTGGCTCAAAAAGAAAAAAAAAATAGTAAAACTAAGCTGACTAGCCCTACTTACAATAAAAGGTAAAATAATGAGAAATACTACTTTTTTCCTTTACAGAAAGTATCAAAAGCAATGGAAATTGTGGTTATATTGGCTCTTTTCAAGTATGCATATGGTTTTGCAGTCCAAGTATTCTTTGCCAATTGGGTAAAAACAAAAGACAGTGCTTTATTAAGGTGAACGTGACTATGACCTTGATTGCTTATTTTCATAATTTATTACAAAGGAAATATAGGTTTTTTCAGGAGAAAAAGAGTTCAAGGAATCTTAGAACTAAAATTATTAGAATTTGTGTTAGACCACTGGAGAGATTGATATGGCTTTTTTTTTTTATTGACCTTTACCATAGGTTGAATTCCATGACATTCACCACCACTGCATCCTTTTAATTTCAAAATACAGGTTGAGCATTCCAATCTGAAAATTGGAACTCTGAAGTACCCTAAAATCTGAAACTTTTGAATGTCAACCTGATGCCACAAATGGAAAATTCACACTTGACCTCAAGTGACAGGTTGAAGTCAAGAAAAAGGTACACAGTGTGCAGTTTATTCAGCATCCCCAAGAGAAAAATATAACCTCAGGCCCCTTGGGCTGCAGTAATTCTTTTCTGTATATGCCCTCACTGGGTAATGAAATGGCATGCATGCAGGCCCAGTGTGTCTATGACAGGCACCACGATCCTAATGGAGCCAAGACCTTTGTACTCTACTTGCTGTAATTTTTTGCTTCTGTGTTGCTCTGTGGAATAATGATAACACTGAAAATGTCAAAAAGACCATCAGATATCCCTATGGGTAACAGTGATAAGAAAAAGAGGAAGCATTTATGTTTATCTATAGCACAAAAAGTGAAGCTATTGGAAAAGTTGGACAGTGGTGTAAGTGTGAAACATCTTACTGAAGAATATGGTGTTGGAATGACTACTATATATGACTTAAAGAAACAGAAGGATAAACTGTTGAAGTTCTATGCAGAAAGTGATGAGCCAAAGTTAATGAAGGATAGAAAAACACTACATAAAGCAAAAAATGAAGACCTTGATCGAGTATTGAAAGAGTGGATCCGCAAGCGTCGCAATGAGCACATGCCACTGAATGGTGTGTTGATCATGAAGCAAGCAAAGATCTATCACAGTGAATTAAAAATTGAAGGGAATTGTGAGTATTCAACAGGCTGGCTGCAGAAATTTAAGAAAAGACATGGCATTAAATTTTTAAATATTTATGGTGATAAGTCGTCTGGTACCACAGCTGTGGAGAAATGCACTAACAGTAATGAGTCTTCACTTGTTCAGTCATTGACCAAGGGTGGAATGGATGACAGGGCTGAGAATCAAGGTGATCATGCTAATAGTGATGATGAAGACAGTATGGCGAACACTGCAGGGAAAGTGCCCCTCGACGATATGGTGCAGCTGTGTGATGGGCTTATCAAAGGACTAGAGCAACGTACATTCATAACAGAACAAGAAGTCATGTCTGTTTATAAAATCAAAGGGAGACTTTTAAGACAAAAAAGGTTGTTAATGAGACAGATGACTCTAGGAAAACCATTTAAAAGTGCCACCCAGCAGAATGCTTCCTCATCCCTAGAGAGCCCACTTCCTGGTCCCTCAACTGCTTAGCTACTTAAAAAAATATATACAGGACTCAGTTGCTTTTTAATCAAACACAGGTGCTGTTTGATGCTGGCATGGGATTTAGCAGCTACCGCTGTGCTACTTAGTTCCCTAGTGCACACGATTTCACTGTACAGTGTTAGACCATGGTTTTTACTCACTACTTGTGTATGAGTAAGAGGAAAGTAAGAGGAAGAAAATGATTCAGTCACTAATAGCATATGAATTCAGAGTCAGGAATGAGGGTGAGGCCAAACACAACATTCATGTGGGTGGCTGAGATAGAGATGTCTTTGCTTTCTGAACAGTCACTTGTACACAGCCCTTATTTCATGACCACATTATTAAAAATATAGTGTAAATTACCTTTAGGCTGTATGTATAAGGTTTATACAAAATCTTACAGAATATTATGTTAAAGCTTGGGTCTCGTTCCCTGGATATCTCACTATATGCAAATATTCTGAGGGCCAAAATAAATTCTTAAACATATTTGGTCCCAAGCATTCCATGTAAGGGATACTTACCCACTAGTGAAATTTGTGTTGACTATGTATCTCTCTCCATATATGTATGTATGCATGTGTATGTGTGTATATACATATGTGTGTGTGAAATATAGAGTAATTTAACAATCTGTCGTTCCCAGCACATTGCCATCCTCACAAAGTGTACATGATAAACTGCTCTGAGGCCTTTCTGTGCTCTATGATGTGTACTCTGTGGACCCGCTTCCCCCATTACTTGGTCTTCCCTGTGAGCAACTTCAGACCACTTTCCATAGGATATCTTTGTTTTAATTACATGCAGCTACTTTCTAATAATAAAAGGAAAAAGCTGTTTGGATTGGTTTCTGGTTAGATTTTTTTACTTTGATATGTTTGCTTTTTGGGGCCTTCCTAGTTGTTTCCCCCCCCTCCCCCCCACTAGCCGCAGTTGTAGTAAACTCTGAGGCTGTGAGTCAGTGCTAATGTTGTGGCATTAGGTGTTAGAACTTTTCTTTGTACATTTCTTACAGATAGGGCCTGATAATCATCTCAAATTACAATTTTACTTTAGTGATTTTTAAAAATTTACTCTTTCCCCACATTTGTAGTCTTGATAGGATTTAAGCATAGAAACATCACTGCTAACAGGTTAAGGTACCTGGCAGTCAAAACTTATTACTTAAAGTCTAAATACATTTATGTGGTATGTGTGTGTGTGTGTATCATCATCCTTCCATCATGTTTATGAGGAGAAAGATGAAACCCTAGTTTTCAATAGAGAAAATATCAATAACAAGCAGAGTAGATTGCTGCTACAGGAGGTATGGAGAAAGCATTTAGAGTTATCCCCTGTCCCCCAAACACATATGGTCTTAAGCTTTTGGAAGTCTGAGCCAAGATTGAAAGGTGTGTGTGTGTGTGTGTGTGTGTCTGGTAGTAGGGCTTTAATTCAGGGCCCTACATTCTTGCTTGGCTTTTTGGCTCAAAGCTAGCATTCTACCACTTGAACCACCTCTTCACTTCTGGCTTTTGCTGGTTGATTAGAGATAAGAGTCTCAGATTTGTCTGATTGGGCTGTTTTCAAGCCTTGATCCTCAAATCTTAGCCATCTGAGTAGATCGGATTACAAGCATGAGACACCAGTGCCCAACTGAAGAGAAAATTTTTGAGATTCTGGGACTAAAACAAAGGTGGAAAGTTCCTTCATAGCTGTTTGTATAGTATTAAACGTTCGAAGAAATGTGCCTTCAACAGTACCACTTGAGCAACAGAAAGCATCTATTTTTGTCAACTTTGGATATAGTGACTTCAAGCAAATGTGCACTGGCTGTTACAGAATTATTTTAGAAGTTTCCCATAGTGAATTAAACCAGATAAAAGTAGTAACTAGTATGCAGGAGAAGTAAAAAAAAAATCCACTGGTTACAGCTTGAAAATTTAAAAGCTGAGGAAACTGCTTTAGTAGTTGTTATCTTATATTCTTATATGGATTTATAAGGAAGGGACAAATTGATGACTGTTCTGTATAATGCATTTTATAGCACTGCCATTTGGCAAGTTGGCTAATTCCCAGAATTGTTCATTTGTTTCCTTGTAATTATCAAGGAAATAACATGCCCAGATGATGACAAACTTACTAATGACTGAGAAGAATGGACAGGAGCAGAACATAGTATCTTTTTTATCAAAACAACCATATGCCCACAACACTCCCTAAGTTGGATAGTGTATGTGTTGTTTTCATCTTCAAACTCCATCATTTTGCAGCCTTCGGATGAAGCTATAATTCACACATTGAAAGTTCATTACTGAAACCAGTGGTGGGAAGAAAAAGTTCAGAATTTAGGTAAGGAGGTAAAAATGGAAGCATCATGAAGCATCTGTTGACATGACTTCTTGAAGTCAGATGTCTACAAAGTCACCTGCAGCAGTAAAATGTGGGATCCCTGAAGTACTCCTGGAAGATTGCAGCTATTGTGATATTTAAGCCATGTAATATTCAATTGCTACTGTCTCTGGTATCCCAAACCAATTTAATTTTGAAGAATTTGTGACTACAGGCAACCACCTGTTCCTCAGGAATTAGCACCTCTTGAAATTTCTACAGAAATACTGAAGTAACAATGGGATCACAAAGCTGTAGTGATGGTGAAAACATCAGTAATAATAACTAAAATATGCATGGAGAAAAAAGTGAAACAGCTTACAGTGAACATTTGTAGAGGAGAATTCACCCAGCAGATGTTCATGACAAGGTATTTACCTACCAAGTGCTTTTAAGTAAATGCTTTTTGATCACTGCAGCACAAATTGTTTGAACAACTGGTCTGATTTTCTCCTTAAAACTGCATATTTTTGTAGTGTATGAAATAGAAGACTAATGAATAAAGAGTACTTACACAAAACAAGCACCAGTGAATTACATGTGAATGTTTGACCCTACATAACTTTATTGTACAGGAAGTTGTGGCATGTCTCCCAAAGAGTTTTATCTTTTATTATTAATTTCAGCCTTTGGAAAGTTTCTCTACTTCCTATCTCCCACCTTAGGCATTGGATGACAGGAATAGTGACACCTGGAAGAGAAAAATACAAAATGTTAATGCTTCAAATTAGAAGAACCAGAAGATTACGGACATACTTAGTTCTAATAGAACAGATTTAGAACAACTGAAAGAGAGGATATTTAGACTAAGGAGTGTACAGAACATATTCTTTCCAGAGAGTTGCTGATAAGCAAAGGAGGAGTGAATAGAAACAACTAGTTATTTACCCTTACTGCTTGGGACAGTGGATGCTTGGGTGGGCCCATGGAGCAAGGGATTATCCATGGTACTCTCCTCCATGTAATACTGGCTTAGTGTCAAATAATCATTCTCCAGACTTCTGTCAGTTTCATGGTTTATTGGTTTGATTTGGGGTTGGGGTTGTTTTTTTTTTTAGGTTAAAATAATTTTACTGAATAAAGTTTAAAACATCACTTGAATAGAATTGACATCCACTTTTTGTGCTAATCCAGAATTCAAAAGAAGAACGTATTTGTGATTTTTATTTCCTTAGTGGCTTTATTTTTTAAAAAAAGGTTTGTCAAAGAATTACGAAAGAAAAATATCTTGTTTTTAGGTAATCATCGTTAGTCAAGATGTCTTCAGCTCCTGAGCCTCCAGCAGTTAAAAAGGAACCACCCAAAGAGAAAGACTTTCCAAACCCAGGGCTCAGAAGTGTTCGTACAACGACCTTATTTCGAGCTGTGAATCCAGAGCTCTTCATTAAACCTGTAAGAAAGACAGGATATAACTTTAATCAGGCAATGAGAAGTAGCTCCTATTTTTCTTTAGTAATATGCTCTTATTGTGGATATTTTATGTTGACTAATAAGACCTTTCTGAATTAAAACAAGTGAAAGGAAAATGCTAAATGCTGCTTTACCTATATGTATTTAAGACATTGTTTTTCAGGCATATGGGTATGATAGTGAAAAATGGTTACATTTTAATTTATTAACTGATGCATTGTTGCATTAATATGAAGGTAATTTTATGGTTTAATAATGTGCTATTAAATAAGACCTTCCACTGAAACGGGAGACCAAAATGAAAAGCTGGTAAGTCTTACAGACTGCAATCTAGTCTTTACTAATTTTTTACCCTTTATGTGATATCATAAACTTTTGTGTGTCTGTTTGTGATGGTACTAGGGCTTGAACTCCAGGGCAGGGCACTGTCTGAGCTCTTTTGCTCAAGGCCAACACTTCACCATTTGAGCCATACCTTCGATTCCTCTTTTTTTGTGGTTAATTGGAGATAAGAGTCTCTTGGATGTTTTTCTGCCCAGGCTAGCTTCCAATCTTGACCCTCAGATCTCAGCCTCATGAATAGCTAGGATTACAGGTGTGAGGCACCTACACCCAGCTGATACCGTAAACACTTCGTGAAAAATTCTAAAATACACATTTGTATACTGTTGAGGATGTAGCTTATCATTTATATTGTTTGAATATATTTGATTTAATGAATTTCTTTTTGAAAATGTATCTTCTAGTTTAAAATAAAATCAGCCAGGAGTTGGTGGCTCACACCTGTAATCCTAGCTACTCAGGAGGCTGAAATGTGAGGATTTCAGTTCAAAGCCAACCTAGGCAGAAAAGTCAACAAGATTCTTCAATTAACCACCAGAAAACCAGAAGTGGTGCTGTGGCTCACAGTGGTAGAGTGCTAGCCTGGAGCAAAAGAGTTTAGGGACAGCACCCAGGCCCTGAGTTCAACCTCTGTGACCAACAACAACAAAAAATGAAGTTATTATGAAACTGAGATTTAAAATTTTACAGTAGTTAGTGTAAATTGTTTTAAGGTTAAATAGGGTATTTTACATCACTAAGTCAACATAGGATATTTTTTAAACTTTGAACTAATGTTTTACTTCATTGCTGAAAGTTTGATGTTTATTTTATAATTAAGCTTTGAAATAACAGTACAATATTCTTCCTTATATGCTTTCATTTTACAAGTTTTGCTGCCAGCAATGACCTGAATGTTTTTTGCCTCAAGAGAATGAACCATATTCACATATGTGCATATAGCTATGTTACAATTTTTCTGTTTTATTGTTAATATCTTACTGTGCCTAATTTATAAATAAAACATGTTTAGGCAAGATATAGTCTAAAATGTATATAGGGTTTGGTATTATCGTTGGTTTCAGACCTGGGTCTTAGATCTTGGGTCTTAAATCCAAACCTGATGGCTACTGTAGTGACCAGGTATGGAAACAAGCAGAAAATGCCATTTGGAGCCGAGCCCCTGGTGTGGCTCATGTCTGTAATCTAGTTACTCAGCAGGGTGAGATCTGAGGGTCGCCGCACTGTAGCTCAAGTGGTAGAGCACTAACCTTGAGCAAAAAGAAATTCAGGGACAGTCCCCAGGCCCTGAGTTCAAGCCCCATGACTGCCCAAAACAAAACAAAAAATAGACGATTTTTATCACTGTTGTGTGTTTGCACTAACCTAAGAAAGAGTAATTTGTTGAACACAAACATGCAAAATGAGGTGTCTATTTTAGGTCAGGAATCATAAGTTGTAATAGAGAAAACACTTCTCTGGAAGCTGTATTTAAAAGCTCTACCAGCCTTCACCCTTGATCAAGTTATATTGCTTTGCATAATACCTGTTCCAATCACTAAATTTTCTTAAAATAATAGAGCAGGTTCCCAGAGAAGGATATATACATTATTATTGCTCTACCTAATTTAGGTTATGAAAGACTCTTGACAGTTGTTCTTGGGCAAGAAAAATTGCATGTGTACTTTATCCTCACCCACTAGTAAGCTAAATTGGGCTAGGGAATGGGAAGAACAGGGCACAGAGAAGTAAAGGGACTTCTCCCCATTACACAGACACCACTGAGGATGCTGAGTATACCAGAGCAATGTCCGTGCCTCTTGCTCATCTCATCTTTCACCATACTGAGTAGATGGCCAAGATGTCCAGGGTATAGAGAAATTGTATAGAATGAGTAAGAGTCTATAATCTGTAAATAATCAGTAGTTGAGCTAATTGAATTAAGAATTGATTGTGTGATTATAATGGAAACACTTTCTGGACTGCTTGGGTGGGTGGTAGGGAGTTGTCAGTGTATTGGGAAGCATAAGAACTATTTTAATCTCTTCGAATTTTCAGTCTTGGGCTTTATAATTTTTTTCTTGACAGAACAAACCAGTAATGGCTTTTGGATTGGTAACCCTTTCGCTTTGTGTGGGTTATCTTGGTTATCTACATGCAACACAAGACAATAAGAAGGACCTCTCTGAAGCTATTGATAGTGAAGGACACAGTTATATGAGAAAGAAAACATCTAAATGGGATTAAAGTTCTGGTTCCTGCAGATAGAGCTTTATTAGAAGCTCTGAAATCTTCAACTGTAAGGCTTCGTGAGTGAGTCCAATAAAATGTTAAAATGCAGTTGCCATCAGTCCGATGTAGTAATGTATCCTGTTACAGCTAACAGCTGTTACCTCATTCTTTGCCTACAGTTTGCCAATTTTCTCATCCTCTTATAAAAGTGCCTTAAGGATAGAAGTCACTTTTGTTAATGTATAAAATAAAAGTACCCAGTGCTGTTAAATTTGTATGGAGTTTTTGTTTGTTTGTTTGTTGTTTTTTGGGTCCGGTCGTGGGGCCTGAACTCGGCCTGGGCACTGTCCCTCGGCTCTTCAGCTCAAGGCTAGCGCTCTACTACTTGAGCCACAGTGCCACTTCCAGCTTTTTCTTTTTGCTTATGTGGTGCTGAGGAATCGAACCCAGGGCCTCATGCATACAAGGCAAGCACTCTACCACTGAGCCATCTTCACAGTCCTATATGGAGTTTTTAATGTTTTAAAACCTGTATCTTTTTGTGTGTGTGTGTGAAAATACTGTACAGAGGGGTTACAATTACATGGGCAAGATAGTGAGTACATTTCTTATCAAGCATTGTAGCCTCCTCCTTTGTTTACCCTTCCCATCCCTTCCCATCCTCCCTCTCCTCTCACCCAATCCTCCCCTCCCTCAAGTTGTAAAGTTCGTTTTTGACGTGACAACTTGTACTTCTCATTGTTGCAACAGGTCCACCTGTATCCTTATTTAAACGACATGTTTTTTCCCTTCCCCTCCACAAATTATACCGACATCAAATACAGTGAAAGCAGGTGTTATACTGGGGGGGAGGGTAAAACCTGTATCTTTGTAACTGTTGGGAAAATTTAGTTTTGTTGTTTACAAAGGAAATGTTCATTTGCTGCCTAACATAGAACCTGCATATGTAAAGAAAGAAATCATAATTTTAAAGCCTAGAGTCAACAGTAAAGTATAAAAAATAAAAACTGATTTGGCTCTGAAATCATTTTTATAGGGATAGAAGGTTCATGTATTTTGATTTCTATTTCATCTATTTTTGGTTCCAAATTTTAATTGAAAAGATACCTTCCCTCAGCTACTAAAATAATGATTAAATGGGAAGATGGTATAAAGTAATGTAAGTTTTTCTTTCTTAAAGGAAGTATGTTACACTGGGCTATGCTTTGTTTTTGTTTTTGTTTGGTTTGGTTTTTTGGTGAGGGGATTGGAATTCAGGGCCTAGGCACTGTCCCTGAGCTATTTTTGCTCAAGGCTAGTGCTCTACCACTTTGAACCATAGCACCACTTTGGGCTTTTGAGTAGTAAATAGGAGGTAACAGTCTCATGGGGACTTTTGTGTCCAGGCTAGCTTCAAATCATGATCCTCAGCTCTCAGCCTCTTGAATAGCTAGGATTACAGGTGTGTGTCACCACCATCCATCCTGGGCTATGTGGTTTTTGTTGTTTTTCCCAGTTCTAGGGCTATAACTCAGGGCCTGGCACTGTCCCTGAGCTGCTTTTTGCTCAAGGCTCAGACTTTATCACCAGCTTCTTTTGCTCTATCACTTGAGCCACAGCACCACTTCTAGCCTTTTCTGTTTAAGTGTTACTGAGGAACCAAACCCAGGGCACGATGCATGCTAGACAAGCACTTACCACTAAGCCACATTTCCAGCCCTGGGCTATGTGTGTATTTGACTGGATTAATTTTATTAAATATGTCCTGGCTTCATTTTTGTTTTTATTGTTTTTGTGATACTAGATTTGTTTTTTGGGGGGGTCCCTTAGTGGGGCCTGAACTCTGGGCCTGGGTGCTGTCCCTCAGCTCTTCAGTTCAAGGCTAGTGCTCTACCACTTGAGCCACAGTGCCACTTCCAGCTTTTTTCTTTTTGCTTATGTGGTGCTGAGGAATTGAACCCAGGGCCTCATGCATGCAAGGCAAGCGCTCTACCACTGAGCCACCTTCCCAGCCCTGATAGTAGGTTTTGAACTCATGGTTTGCTACTTTCTAGGCTGGCATTCCACCACTGAACTACTCCTACAGCACAGCTTCTTGCTGATTGTTTTGGAACTTTTCTTGTAGACTTGAAGGTTCAGGCTGCCTTCCAACCATGATTCTCAAGATCTCAGCCTCCAATTAGCTAGGATTACAAGTGTGAGCCACTGGCACCAGCATTAATTCCAGTTTTTAAATAACTGGTTTAACTACTAGAAGCTGAGATCCTAAGAACTGTAGTTAGAAGTTGATCTGAGCAGAAAAATCCATGATATCCCATCTCCAAAATAACCAGAGAAAAGCTACACTGCAGGCATAGTTCAGTGGTAGAATTCCAGTCTCTGAAGCAAGTTGAGTATGTGTGAAGCCCTGAGTTCAAACCCCAGTACTGGAAATACACACACGCCAACTAGAATTATGCATTAGGCAATAAGTATAAAATAAGAGGTTCCTTACTATCTCGTGTGTGTGTGTGTGTGTGTGTGTGTGTGTGTGTATAAAGATATAGTTATTATTTGTAGATATTAAAGAGTTGCAATTTGAGTTTATCTACATGTAAATTAAATTTTTATTACTAAGTCCTAAATATTCCTTATCCATGTGGTACACTTCATAACATTTAAGTGCCTTCTAACTTAAATACCTTTTTGTTTTTGCTTTTCCTATGGATTTTAGTTGTTGCAGATCTAAGATTCTTCTGTTTTCAGCTTCTGTACTTGATATCAGAGTTCCATCTTTTTAAAATTATTTTGCTCTTCAACAAAATCAGTTGCTATTCAGTGTCAGGGGAGATACGGGTCAAGTGACCTGTCAGGAGGTTATCACGGCACAGAAAGGCATCTAGAACCAAATGGCTTGCAGCCTGAAGCCACGTAACCACCATGTGAAGGAATCAAGACAGCAAAAGATATGGTCAGGTACCAGCTGTGAAAAGTAGGGTGTCAGAAGAATAACATTGCATTTTAGGAACAAGTACTTAGTTAACTTTCTACATGGTGGTTAACAGGTTATATTACAGCATTGTGTGTCTAGAGTTTCAAAGATTGTCTGCCGTACAATGATTCTTTCATCCATTCTCTTATCAAGTGAGGATGTAACAAGCTGCGACGGACCAGCTCGGCCGGAGCACTGGGACCGACTGGACAGGGATCTCGGGATAGGTGGGCAAGGAGTCGGCGAAGTGACAAACAGACACAGACTCAAAAGAGTTGCATCTGAGTGTATCTTTATTGAGGAGAATTAACATTTTTATACAGTGTGTGATTGTGACATAGATTCTTTGTTTATTTAAGCACATAATCAATTTTTTTAAAGGCAAAGCATTGATAAATTACATGAAAATTGATGACTATCCCACCGTTTAAGCTAAGTGGTGCAAAACAAGTCTAGCATATTGTTTAATAGAATACATCATCTATTCAGCCTTTTTATGTTTAATAATTAACAAACCTAAAACAGGGCTGTACTTATATTGTACTCTTTTTATTTTTATTTTTATCCAACTATTTTCATCTTTATAAGCTCCTGTATAAGGAAATGGTTCTTTGGTTGGTTCAGGAAATATGATGTTACTAACTTTATAGTTTGTGTGAAACCACCATCTATTCCCTATAACGTAAGTTGGACTAAACTTAATCATAACTGTTGGGAGAATCTTTCTTTTTCTTTTATAATCAGAGGTCCCTTCTTTTTTAGAACTTTCTGAACTACTGGGATAACTCTTTCTAACTTAGCTTAATTCATTGATTTTTGTCTGTTGGACATATCTGGAAATTTTAAATCTCTTTATATACTATGCGTGAGCTGCAAAACTGCTTGTGAAGTTGTAGGAGTTTCTGGAGGCAACGTCACATCAGATGATAAATTGATTGGGGCATTCCCACATTTAATCTTTGGTCTTAGTCTTTATTACTTAGAGAAGCCATCTTTATTGGACTGGAAAGATACAACATGCTCTGTTCGCGGATCAATAGAAAAATAGCCAAAATGAGAATAAAGGCAATGAATATACAGCCAAGAAGAATATAGTAAGAATAAAGGTAGAGGCTATAAAGGTGCAGCCAAGTGTATGGGAAGCCTTGAACCAACACCCCCTTCCTGGGGGCATGCTTCCTTTGTCTAATGCGATCTCTCACGCAGACTCCGCAGAAGGTGGCGTGGCACCCACTGGCCACAGAAAGATGTCCACTCAGCTGGAGATACCAGGAACCACTGGAAGTGCAGAAACTTAAGCATTTGACCTTGTTTCTCTGGCCAGAGACTATTCATTGAATTTGCAGCCCCTTATTCTGTTGCCGATGTCAAATCAGAAGCCATCTATCCACCACAGGCAGCTTTATGGAAGTGTTCCACCTACCTGCGCTGGCCTCTCTTTGCTGAACCCAGCTAAGGACTCCTTGCAGACACATCCTCATGGCTGCTTTGCCTGCTGTGATCTCTGCTCCTTTCCAAACGCTTGCTTCGGCAGCTTCCCCTCCATTGTGCCTGTGCCTCTCGGACTGGGTTCCCATGGTGGTTGGATATTGAGCTGCTTGTTAGAGGAGGAAACAAGGGTTGTTGTGTACAATGGCAGGCCTGAACTGGCCTGGAGGCAGGACAGACGCTCTCCCAGGTGGGACTTGTCAGGGCACAGGGCAGGCATCCTGCCACTGGGCCCTGGGTCACTGTGGTGAGCAGCAGTCACACTGGAACTTCTCTTTTTCAGAGAATAACGGGTTAAGTCTGACCAGATTGTCTTCTCTAGGGAATCCGGTTCTCCACCAACTCCTGGGGGATGCCTGGGGTTTGAGTCTATGCCAGGCTCCACTCCTGTCCAGAACCTTTCATTACAGAAGTTTCAACCAAGTGTATGTGGCGTGGCAACAAGCAAAGTAAAATACCTGAAATGGTCATTAAGATTTTGAACATGCAACTTTGCCTGGTCTGATCCTGTCTGCTTCTGGTTAAGACAGTGGACTGTGAAGAGAAATTATGAATTAGGGCAGAAACCTAGATCTTGCTCCAAAGTCTAGGATGTTTTTGGCCTTACTATCTACCTCCTTATATGGTAAGTATTCGTAACATAATTGAGCAGTCACATTATCATCAAACATAAGATGTTCAGATTTTAAATACTGAAACAATTTTGAAACAATTATCTAAAAGACTGGACTGTAAAAACTACCTATTGGTGAAGCAAAACTAAGTTTTGTGTTTAAAAAACAGCTGGTCAGGGAAGATATATACAGTGAAGTTCAACTAGTTAAAAAGGATCTTTTT